AATCTGCTCGTACAGAAAGTATATATGCTTAAAAGGTTAAAATGTCTGAACCAGTCATTTGGATGGTTCCATGAAATTGTGGCATTACAATGTATTTGATTAAATAGTATATAATTAGTGTGGGTTGTCAAAAGTCAAAATCATATATTTAAACGAGAATTAAAACAGATATTCTTTTGACAAATTAAAAATAAATTTCCTTTGGAATTTTAGAATGATTTTCATAAAAGTACTGTTTTGTTGTACTCTCAATTGTTGGTAAAATATTACATTCTAGTTTATAATCCTAAAAGAGCGTTTCACAGATTATTTATTAGCATCAAAATAGTTATAAGTTTTACTGATGTGACAAAACTGTAATGTCAAGGAAATGTTTAACGATAAACTATTATCGACTGAAAGTGGGTGGAACTTTATCCATATTTCCAGTTTTTAGAGGCTCAAGGCTTTCATACACTGAAAGCCTGTAGCGTTTATACGCTCAGTATGTTTACATTTCATCTAAAGTTATCAGCTCACTATGCACACAACAATAAAAATGCTTTACACAGAAGTACAAAGACACAAACTGTTTGTGGTCCAGCTGTGCTTTTGCCAGGCTTCAGGGCGGCGAGCCAGGATAGTGAGGTGAGGAGAGGGGCGAAAACACTAACTGGCAAATCATCTGCCAATTAAAACTACTCAGTGATGTGTGTATATGTGTGATTGTGTATTTGGGGTGTGAGTGCGTCCTTGTCTGACTGCCAAGGAGAGGCCTGGCACCAAACGCATAGCCTGGTGAGACCAGAATGATTCCCCTCTGTATTTTTTTATCCAGCGGGGGATCACCGGCTGGTACAGCGGTGAGTCTGGATTTTTCCAGGCTACCAAACGCATGCTTCCCTTTCTCTCAGCATGGCCTTTCCAAACATACAAGGAATTCGGCTTCATCCCATTGTGTGATATTAAGGACAAATGGGATGTCTATCTTGGTTTCGGCTTTTAGTTTGTTCAGCAGAGTACAATAAAGCTCCACCCGCTGAATAATAACTCTTTTTAAAGCTCAAGACACCCTGCCCTTGCTGCACTTGTTACCGTTGTGGGGACAATGTTCTGAATAGGTCGCATTGTGATGGCGGATGGGTGTGTGTGTTGACTGGGTGATAGTTGTTATGTAGGAGGCTGGGGTTTTAAAGCAAAGCCTCCTCTCTTTGATGAATTAGTCCAGTGATGTATTATAAAGTATAGCGTTGACTGTTGAATTATGTATTTGAAGGTTATTATGCGCTGCTCTAGTTTCATACATACTTTTCCAATAAGTGCCCTATTGTAAAATGGTTGTGAAAAGAAGTGGGCAATATTAAACTTTGTTTATTGTTTTGAATCTTATTTTAAAGATATTTAGCTGAGAAAATTAGGAAAAGTGTGAAATAATGAATAGACATTTTGACAAAGACTTCCAAAAACTACATCAAAACTACTCATATCTCACTCAATTCACCTTGTCCAGCGTTTTATTACATAATGGTATACCATTTGCAAATAGTTCTTTATAAGCAACAAGAGTTAAAAATGGCAGCTCAAATTCTATACTAAGGGATTGTAAATCAATCAGCGCAACCCAAAGTCATATCCTTCTATAGTCATATATTTCTATAGTGAGTTTGAAGCTTGGCCAATCCGTAAAGATTTAGTTGGCCGCGGCACTAATATAAACAAATGTGCTTTATTGCTTCTATCTGGATTGCCAAAGGGTAATTGATTAGTTTGGGGATATTATACTGTATGAGCCTACGTCTTTAAGAATCCGTGGATATGATTATGTCAAACTAGCTTCATGGGGTCCCTTTCGACTGCTATATTTGTAGCTTTGTTATAAAATGTGTGGGATGAGAACACAGTATATAAAATCTAAGGTATATGAACATGAAAATAATGAGGGCTGCATTTCTAGCAAGAACAGGAATGTTAGAAGTCAAACGTGGCTGATGTAAGTGCACACAAGGTTACATTGATACATTCCATGTGCTTTACTTTCTGCTGTTCAAACGGCCAGCTCGTCTCTTGTAGCGAGGCTGCCGCGTTGGAGATTTGATTGAAAAAAGGGCTGTGGTTGGAGAGGAATTTCCCTGTCATTACCACGAAGCTTCTGGGTCAGTCCTGTACTGTACATTCTTCTGACCCCACAGCTGTAGACACGACGTCAGTCCCAAAGGCATGCAATCCGTCATAAATGTTGGAACTTATAGTGCAAATGCAGTTGCCATACTAAAATCAACATTCTATTCAATTGACAATATGGCTTTTAACATTTTGTTAAGAAGATAGTTTGATCTGTAATTTCCAAGGTTTTTTTCTGTTTGTTTCAGAGTAATGTCTGCAAATGTCAGATTTGTTTCTTGTCCCATGCACAGTCATGTCTTTTTTTGGTAAATGTGAATGAATGATGTCACACTTACGGGACACAGAAGCGAAAGAATGCAGACGCGCTGATGAAGCTTACAATTACATGCTGAAGCCATGCCAGTGCTTAGTCATGAACACAGCTGCACTTTTCCTGATAAAGTCAAGTAAAGCCTTGCTCGCAAAAACACAACATTTAGTTCAAATATTGGGCGTTTCTCAACCGTTTCATAAACAAGTATCACTTAAAAAAATATTTGGATTATAGAGAAACCACCAGGAACATAACTGAATAAACAAAGACTGAGAAATGTGGTTGCAAAACAAGGGCTATAATTGCACATCACCAGTGGTATACTTATTTTGGAATGGGATAAAGGGAGGCGAGTTGTTTGAATCAATAACCAATTTTCAAAAGTTACATCACCGTACGCCCAGGATCAGAAGGAATTGCAATATAATGGTCTATGACTTATCTTCCATGTGGTGCAATAGATACATTATCAGACATATGTTTTACAACTTTGTAAGAGTAGAACATGCAGAAACCCAAACTTGGCTAAGAGCTGCACTCTTGTTACACGGTTTGTTTCGCTGTCATTATGCAAAGTATTGTCTCTCATGTGACCTGTGTGTAGTTGTATAACCTTCTTCACCTGACCCATGTTAATAACGGGCTATAAAACAGTTTGGTTTGGTTACTATCTAAATGACTGTTATATTTGGCCATAGTGTTCTGCAGTGAACCTCTGCAAAGGTCCCGAGGCAAGGAAAAGGTTACTGTATTTGGTCGAATAATCAAGGTTTTTGCTATGTGACTTGTTGTATTAGTTACATTTTGTGATTTTTGGCTACTTTACCCACTCTATACATGAAACCACTGCTTTACATCAACCCAAATGCCTCGGAGACTGTTGCCTGTTTGTTGGTTTAGGCTGTCTGTAAGCTGTCCACTCCACTGCTCTTTAAATTCACTCAGCTTGTCTCCTAATGTGGTTACTCTGAACTGCTCCTGACTTGTTTAGCCGACTGCCGCTGGTCCTGATTGGACATGATGGATCGCGACACAGTGCTGGTTTGTGCAACAACAAGCACACTGTGAGGTCCCTATATATCAAGGGCTTCTGCTAAAGGTTCAACATTTTATTTTGGCAAACAGACTCAGAAGTGCAAGACAAGTCAATGACTAGATTCCAAAGGTTCTGAGCTTTACGAGGTATAGCATGACTCCATTAGTGGGGCTGAGGTTGGCTGGATGACACTGAAAATGCCTCCATAGCTACTTTGGGTTAGCAAGACTGGGCCATATAAAAATTACATAGCGGGCCACATAAGGATCCTGCTTGCTTTAAAGTAATAATAACTTCTGAATGCAGTATTTGTCAGAAATATATGCATTACATACATAAACAAATTTTGATGTTGTATTACCTAAAATTACGGTGTTGAAGGCACTCTTTGCTCCTCCTGTTTTGGTCTCCCCTGCTGTGGACTGTTGGCTGCCTTTTTCCTGCCACCATCTGTCTCTCCATCCTCTTTCCTTTTCCCTTCTCTTCTCTTTCCTTTGGCCCAATTTAGCTCCATGATCCACCCTCTTCTATCTATTACAGTGTGGGATGACGTTGGACTTCTGTGATTCCCATATACAGTAGTTTTACATTTTCAAACCGCTTCACGCTGGAAATGTGCATAAACAGCTAATAGTAAAAATGGAACCGTTGCTCATACTCTGGCTGTATATTTCCCAAGACTTCCTGTTCAAGTATCCTCCTTTATTTCCCTTGTTACGACTGTAGCGCTGTATGCCATTACTACAGTTCCTATTTTAAGGTGATGTAGTGAATGATGATTAATATTGCAGTCGCATAAGGTCACCTATAAATCACTTAGAACTATTTTGAGTTACATCATTCCCCTTTTAATTTTTAACCAACATTACGTAACTTGCCAGGATGTTCACTCTCTCATAGGCTCCTCAGAAACTGCACTGCTACAAAAGCATGGAAGGCTGTGATGTCCCACCACTGATTTAATTCATATCTAAGATGTCAGGAAAGATCACTATTCTACAATATTCTTCTTATTATTGATCATGAAGGAATCATGCGTGTGAAGGAATCATAGATTCTTGGGATGTAAACATTCCAAATTGTAGAATTACAATAGAACGGATACTCACATCTAACAAATTACAAATCCTCTTCTAAGTTTTGAGAGTGCTTGAAATTGTATTATGTTGTTTTGTGCATGAAACAGAATTTACTGGTTCTATTGAGAGATGTTATTAAAAATATGACCTTAAAGAACAATAGATTAAATGTAAAATAAATTGTTATTTCTTGTTCAGATCATACAATCATGATTATTGATGAACCTAATAATATTTTATACATCTGTCACTTTGTGTAATAGATTATTTTTTACATTTTTGTCTGTGACTTTTGAACATTTAGTTTCCTTAAACTATGTCTTCATACAAGTGAGGATAAAAGCATTTTTTGTCACAGTGAAAGTTTGTTTACATTCCCAGTTCTAATTGCTTCGGAAACCACAGCGTGTTTTGGGGAAATTTCTGCAAAGGCTACACAGAGTAAATTTAACTTGTTTTCTTTCGGCAGGGAGTTCCTGATCCATCACTGCAAAGCCTTCTGGGAAACTCCAGACCCCTCTCCATGGGCTCCACCTCCTGCTGACAGACCTGGGGTGACCGGGGGGACTGGTAAATGAGGTGAGAAGGACTCCTATGGCTAGAACCAACCAACCTTGTCATCTCCGATGCATCACTCCTAGCATTGTTATAGTTAACTTGTTGTTAACTTTTTTCTTTATTTTTTATCAAAAAATAATATACTTGTTTTTTCTTGATGCTGGATTTGGAAAATGTCTTTTAGATGCCACAGATTTCTAACAGCTATAATTAACAATGTGCTGGGGTCTGCTTGCGACAGAGAAAGCCACACTGGCAGTTCTGGGAGTGTGAAAAAACAGGCTAAAAATAACATGTTTGCAGCTTTCGTAGTGAACCAGTTTGGAATTCGCTTTCATTTACCTCTTCTTTTGAAGGGAACGAGCAATACATGTATCTTTGATTTCCCACCATGTGTTGTAGTATTATAGATTCTCACAAGCTGAAGCCTTGATGTTTTTTGCCCGTCTCGAGGGGATGTTAAATGTTTGGGGTCAGAAAAGCACTTTCTCTTGGAGTCGTGGGCGTTTGCTTTACACTGGGCACATTTCTGCAAAGCAAATGCAGACGTTCAACTTTAGCTTCAGTGTGTTTGATGGATAGTTTCTCGTACTCTATGCCATGACCTTTTGAAAATCAATAAGAAAAAACACACTCACTTTTTTACCAGTTTTTTGTATGATTGCTTTGGGTTTGTAGTTTTCCCCTGAGCGTCTTTTGTGCTATGTCTGCTGTAAACTATAGCTATACTGCACGGTAATTATTCATATTCATAGTGGAAATTTCATATCCGGCTCAGTGACTGTCAGAGTGCTAATTGGCAGGTTGTGTCTCGGTACGGTAGTGATCGGCCCACACATGTTGCTAATGTCTCATCGTAGGATAATGAAAAAGTTAATACTATTGCAGCGGGCACAGTTCAACAGTGTGCTTATTGAAAGATGAGATGTGCTATAGTAAACAAAAGCCGAAATCTATTGAGACTGTGCTCCCCTGTGCATTGACTCTGATATCAAATCAAAAAGTAATCAAATTAGCAGCTACTAGTACAGCTCTCGTTTCTTAATTTACTTCATAGTTCTGTGCAGTTGTATGTTTGTGTAAGATTTTCCAAACCAGAATCATATAATCTCTCTTTAGATATACCATTGGCCACAGTTTCATATGATCAAAGGTACAGTATATCACTTACCTACTGTCTCAAAAGACTTTTGTCAAACTGTTGGCATTCATCTCACATAAAGAGCAGTGAAAGATAGACTTCGAGTTTATCATTGACCCTAGAAATTGTGTTCTGACCCTGTGCGCGCTGTGCTTGTCTGTGTGGAGACTGATGAGCTTGGGATAGGGCCATGAAGTAGCCTGTTTTCTGTTGTGTGACATTTGGATTCTGCTCGGGGGGATAAAGCAGTTTGTCTTTTAAATAGTGCCCTGTGAATTGGCCAGTTGTGCTTGAGCATTTGTATTATGAATTGTAAAATGGTACGTCTCACAAGCCATCGCTGCTGTCGAGTATATAGTGTGATGCTGCTGGATGTGTGGGTGAGAAGGAGACAGAAGAGTGCCGCTGCTATTCTTGGCGGGTTGGGGAAGTTTTGGCTCCCTGGCGTATGGGAAAAGTGCTCTTGGCAAGTGTTAGACCCAGGCATTCCATTAAGCTGTCCTCTTGAAAAACCCTACACATACACAAAAACTTGTCTCTTTGTCAATTCAAGTCTAAGTTTGTATTGACTGGGTTCACTCCATGGGGATGCCACTGAAAAGACATCTAAACCTCAATTTATAGAGTGGTACATGCCGGAAATTTGTAGCTTTGCCTCATTGTAAATTGCATTTGTAACTTGTTTATCAAGAGTGCATGCCACAATCACTGAAAATATGCATTCATTATAGTTGTTTTGAGAAGCTTGTGTGGAAGAATCTGAGTAAGCTGGAATTTCCTTTTCATTACAAATGGTCTTATATCTGCTTTAAGATTGTGGACATTTATGAAACCTGCAATAATGGCGTTGAAAGAGCATGTTTTTGAGAAGTGAGTCAAACAGGTGTGTCTAGGTCTATCCAATCTTGTGTCTCATACATTCTATGCATTCTGAATTCCAATATTGCCCTAGAAGGAGTTGGTTGCACTAACAGGAAAGGCTGGGGGATGGAAATGTTATTTAAAAAACAATGTTTTTACTATACAAGAATGCTTTAGTCTCAAACTACACATTGTTCAAGTCTGAGACCTCCATCTACCGACATCTATAACCACACCAAGTTTTAGTTACTCTTCTGAATTTATGATATGTGGAGGATCAAACCGGCACAGATTTTTTGCTCAAAGAAAACAAAAAAATCATCAGACCACAATCACACAAGCTAATATTTATTTATTTGTTTATTATGGATTGCCCCTTGAGATTAATCATCTCTTGTCCGAGAGAGTCCTTATCGCATGATAAGGACCCCTTTGAAGACCCTACTGATGATGTGTTGTTGCAATACTAATCCTGCTCCGCCAAACGGTCATAAAACAAAAGTTACAGCCACAGACAAAGAACTGACAATATGCACATGCAGTACATAAAAACGGAAAACAAAAACACTGTTTGCTCATCCCCACCATCTCAGACCTTCAAAAACATAATGTGAGATCAATCTACAAGCAAGATTGTGTTATGTCCTGTTTAAGAAATTAATGTCTTTGTTTTTTCTTTGTACTAAAGGTGCAGAGCCACTGTCTGGTCTAACATTGGTTAGTTTAACATAGTTTACTAGTTTAAACAGAGGCTGTTTTATTGGAGTTCAGAGGCCAAGATCTGTTCACTAGATCTTTACCTCAATGTTGAAATAGATAAATAATTTTCTGAATGATCAACTAGGAGAATACCATAACATAAACATTAAACTCACATTAACTGACTACATTATATAATAAAACAAGCTCCAAATTGCTTAAGCAACACTCTCCTGAGGGTGGCTACACTGTTTGTTGACGTAAAATGTGCAATTGCCTTTCAACATTTCCCCTGTTGTTACAATCCGTACTTTAAAATGAATAGACATACAGTGGGCGGCTCTATCAAGTGCATTGTCCTCGTCCTGGGCTGTCTGTGCGGCGCGTGGACTCCTGCGTGTGTGGTGAGTGCTCTCTGTTTGTCTGGAGCATGTTCTGTGAAGCCTTTAAATGCGTAAACGAGGGCAAATGGTTGTGTGACGTTTTTCTAAAAAGTGAAAGGCATTGTTTGAATGACAAGGACGCCTGCTGCGCCATTTCTCCTGTGTGTCCTTCATTCACAGAGGGTCTATTCAACCCAATTATCCTGTATGACTGTGAGAGGATCATCTTCTGTGCTCTGAGCTCTTCTCTGTCCTGAACGTGGACAGTAGTGTCCCTAACTACTACTGTCAGACTGCAGAGGGATTAGAAATATTCATAATCACGCAGTCATTCACTACTGACCTGATGGATGTGCACCTACAAGGACACACCGAAATTTTCCACGCACCAACCCTCTACATTATGCAATATGTCGAAAAAGGTCAAAATGTTGTGCTGAGTTTAGAATAAAGACAGGGCCATTTTTATTGTAATAAATTGTATTATTATTACAATCTTATATATTTGGTTGAAATTGCTACGATATAAGGTTAATTAAATAAAAACACCTTTCCACCACCGCATCACACAGGTCAGCCTTTGTCATCCACTATGAATATACCAATTATGAATTACCAAAGTGTGAAAAAATACTTTCAATAACTCAATGGCAGTAAAATTGCAGGCGTAATGATGATTCAACACGTCTGCCTGTGTGTACGTTTGTTGACCACTCATGATAAACAAGGATTTTCAAAAGCAGATCTGAAAAAGTTGTGTTTTAAAACATTATACAAGTTGTTTAAAACCGTCTCACGACTCGTAAGCCTCATAAAGAGTTGTAGTGTGACACCGGGCTTTATATGTGCATCGGCATTTGCTGCATGTGTGTCTGTGTGTACACTCACAGGGATTAGAGAGCAATAGAGAGGCTTAGCAGTGATTTGCCCATCCATTCCAGTCCCTCCCTAATCTCCACGAATACACACACACACTCTCACACACACACACACACACACACACACACAGACTGTACCGTGACTCGTATGTGGCTGAGAGGACTCGGGCCTAACACTGCGTTTGTGGATTAGGAGGTTTGTGAATGAATGGGATGTGGATCAGGGCTGTGGAGGCTCAATGCATCACGGGCAAAAAGCCACAGAGGTTGTTTTTTTGGTTCCCTTGTTTTCATGAAGTGTGTGATGTATTCATAATAAATTGAATCTCGGCCCTACTGGGAAAACCCCTGCTTACACCTGATAGTAGGGGCCTAAACTAGTCAGATCTCGAAAGCTAGTTAGGACAGGGCCTGGTTACTACTACAGGTGCCACAGTTGGACATCTGTTATTCTAGTGCATTCTAGTATGTGTCATTCTGTAAGACACTTCACCCACTTCCAAAAACTTGATTTGTGTTGTGTTATATAAATTGTATAATCAATCAATCAATCTTTATTTGTAATTATTTGCAAATAGAAATGATGAAGCTATGTACTGTGGAAAATTATCTAATGAGATTCCACAGCAATGGGATTATTATTTACGTCCTACTTTTTCCACATGCACTGACCTCCCTCCCTGACCTCTTTACTTACTTGTGTAGCAACTATACAAAAACATTTTAAAGAACATAATCCTTGTGTCTTCCTGCTGTTAAAGATGCACCATGCAACTTTTTGCTGATCAGTTCTCCGCCACCCGCTTGTCTCGGTGGAGATGTTACTGCTGCTTGTCTGAACGCCATCTGCGACACACTCGACAGCCACAAGCAACACCATCCTCCATTAGAAGGTTTCACGTTGCTAGGACCGCACTCAGGGTTTTTGTTTTTTAATACAGAGGTCCAATTCATTTCATCTAATGCATATACAGTAGTTGATTCACATACACATGAGAGTGCTTCCAAGGCCATTAAAGGGGAGACTATCTGAATATCCAGTGTCTTGGTTTATTCTT